CACCCAAGTCAGGAAGCTGTCCTTTCAGCTTCCTGTCACCTGTGCATGTGCTCCCAGACCTCACAGGAGTCATGGACAGAATGTGACCCAGGACAAGGATGAGTCTAGAGAATGAGCACATTCCTTTATTCAGCAAACGCTTATTGAGTGTATGCTCCATAAAAGGCAGAAATGTGCACAGTAACCCAAGGTCCCTGTTTTCTGGGAGTGCACCCTTTAGCGGCAAAATGTAGAAATGTGCAGAGTAACCCAGGGTCCCTGCTTTCTGGGAGTGCACCCTCTAGTGGCAAGAGAGAGACACATGAAAAAAATACAGTTAGCCCTCAAACAGCGCAGAGGTTAGGGCGCCGATCCCCATGCATTCGAAAATCCATGTATAACTTTTGACTCCCCTGAAACAACTACTAATAGCCTATTGTTAGACTGAAAGCCTAACCGATAACATAAACAGTCAATAAACACGTTTTGTATGTTAAATGTATTATTATACTGTATTCTTAAAGTAAGCTAGAGAAAAGAAAATAATTAAGAAAATCATGCTGTGTGCAGTGGCTCATGCCTGTAATCCAGAACTTTGGGAGGCCAAGGCAGGCGGATCGCTTGAGCCCAGGAGTTGGAGACTAGCCTGGACAATGGACTGAGACCCCATCTCTACAAAAAATACAAAAATTATCCGGGTGTGGTGGCACATGCCTGTGTCCCAGCTACTCGAGAGGCTGAGGTGGGAGGATGGGTTGAGCCTGGGAAGCAGAGGCTGAGGAGAAGGAGAAGGGGTTGGTCTTGCTGCCTGAGGGTGGCAGAGGAGGAAGAGGTGGAGGAGGTAAGAGGTGGAGGAGGTAAAAGGGGAGGCAGGACAGGCAGGCACATTTCACGATGAAACCCCGTCTCTACTAAACATACAGAAAATTAGCCAGGCATGGTGACGCGTGGGAGCTACTTGGGAGGGGTGAGGCAGGAGAGTCGCTTGAACCCAGGAGGCGGAGGCTGCAATGAGCCAAGATCGCACCACTGCACTCCAGCCTGGGAGACAAGAGCAACACTCCGCCCTCCCCCCAAGCTCCCCCCCATCATAATTTCTTTCTGACTTTTTAGCTTTTTCATTTCTCTAAAAATGCTTCTATCGGTACCAATTCTTCTACCATTTGCTTTAGTTTTAGTTTTATCAGAGAAGGGCCCATATCACAAAATAAGTCAAAAGCAGTCTTGAATACTCAGAATCCTGGTGCCTGGTTGTCTAACGTCAATTGGTTTCTTGGAAACTGCTTCTTCTCTGTCTTCTTCCTCATTGGCTGGCACTGGTTCAGAAGCACTCATCCCCATCAGGTCATCTTCTGTTAACTTCTCCAGTGTGGTGTCTATTAGGTCTTGAATTTTTCCAAGATCCATATATTAAAACCTTTCACCCCTAACCTTTTTTTCTGCCATCATCACACTCTCTTTCATGATATCCTTGATTGGCTCTGTGAAGTCAGGCACATCTGGACACAGTTGTTTCCAGCAGGAAATAATTGTTTTGGACTTGATGGCCTTCATGGCTTTTTCCGAAACAATGATGACATCTTCCATGGTGTCATTTTTTGTCTTTATGATGTTCTCTCTATTGAGGTTTTCTTCCACAGTGTTGACAATCCTTTTCATAGAGCACTGTGTGTAATGAACCTTACAGGTCCTGATGAGCCCGGATCGAGAGGCTCAATTAGAGATGTGTGTCTGGGGGATGAGTAGACCCTTCACGGCTTCAGTGTTGAACTCACGGGATTCTGAGTTCCCATCAGAGGCATTGACCAACATCAAAAGAAATTTAAAAGGTACCCTTAGTGGCAAGGAAATTCATGGCTTCAGAGACAAAACAGCAATAGAACCAATCCAGAAAAAGGGTTTTCATTGTCCAGGCTTTCTCGTTGTGTTTATCTTTTCCCTTCAAGGATCCAGGGTTAGGAGCTTTATAGATAAGGGCAGTCCTGATCATAAACCTGACTGCATTTATACAAAACAGTAGAGTCAGCTTATTCTTTCCTGACTTACATCCTGGTGCTCACTTCTCTTCCTTACTAATACATGTAGCTTTATTCCACTCTAATGATTTTCTTTTCTTTCTTTTAGAGACAGGGTCTTGCTCTGTCACCCAGGCTGTCATGCAGTGGTGTGACCCTCATTGATTTTCCTAACATCTGGAAACTTGTTGGCTGCCTATTGGTCTGCAGAAGCTGCTTTTCCTGTTAACTTGATTTTTTTTAAAAAGCCAAATCTTTCTAAAATTAGCAAACAGCCAGGCACGGTGGCTCACACCTGCAATCCCAGCACTTTGGGAGGCTGATTTGGGAGGACTGCTTGAGCCTGGGAGTTTGATGCCAGCCTGGGTGTTTAGTGAGACCTTGTCTCTACAAAATTTTTTAAAAAATCAGCTGGGGGTGGTGGTGCACCCTGTAGTCCTGGCTACTAGGGAAGCTACAGCGGGAGGAAACTTTGAGCCTAGGAATTCAAGGTGGCGGTGAGCTATGATCACACCATTGCACTTCAACCTGGGCAACAAAGTGAGATTCTTTCTCTAAATAAATAAATAAAATCAGCAAATCATCTTTTGCTGGCATTAAATTCTCCAGCTTTAGATCCTTCACCTTCTATTTGCCTTAAGTTGTGATATAATTTCATTTTTTAACATATTAGATTCTATAGATATGCCTTTCATATAGCAATCCTGCTACCACATAACAGCCGAATTTTCAGTATGAGATAAAAAGATATTTTGCAAAAAGTGCAGGTTTTCATGCCTTTTGGCATAAATGGGTCAACAGCTTCAGGCATTTTCCTCCCTCCCTTTCTTTTCCTTTCCTTCCTTTTCTTTCCTTTCCTTCATCCTTCCTTCCTTTTTCTTCCTTTTATTTTTCTCTTTCTCTTTCTCTCTCTTTCTTTCTTTTCAATGCTCCTTATACTAGATTGATTTATCTTGAAATGGCAGGCAGCCACAGATGCAGATCTCAATTTATGTACATATCAAGCAATTCAAGTTTTTTGGGAATGTCATAAAATTTCTCTGCTTCTTGGGAGCACTTCCAGCATCACTAGTGACACCTCGTATGGGTCCCATGGTGTTATTCAAGGATTATGGTACTGTCACAGGAATGGGGTTCTGATTCAGACCCAAGAGGGTTCTTGGATCTTGCACAAGAAAGAATTCAGGGCAAGACCATAAAGTGAAAGCAAGTTTATTAGGAAAGTAGAGAAATAAAAGAATGACTACTCCATAGACAGAGCAGCCCCAAGGGCTGCCAGTTGCCTGTTTTTATGGTTATTCCTTGGCTATATGATAAACAAGGGGCGGATTATTCATGTCTTCCCTTTTTAGACCTTATAGGGTAACTTCCTGACATTGCCATGGCATTTGTAAACTGTCACGGTGCTGGTGGAAGAGTAACAGTCAGAATGCCCAGAGGTCACTCTCATCACCGTCTTGGTTTTGGTGGGATTTGTCTGGCTTCTTTACAGCAACCTGTTTTATCAGCAAGGTCTTTATGACCTCCTATCTTATCATCCTGTGACTTAAATACCTTAACCTCCTGGGAATGGAGCCCAGCGGGTCTCAGCCTCATGTCACCCAGCTCCTATTCAAGATGGAGTTGCTGTGATTCACCTGCCTCTAATAGTACTACAGTATACGTGGTAAGCAATATCCAGGAGCCACAAGAGATCACTTATAACTATGATACTCAATTTACTGGAGAGAAGGACTGCTCACATGGAGATGATTAGCATCACACAGCATTTTTTTCTTTTTGAGACGAAGTCTCTGTTGCCTAGGCTGGAGTGCAGTGGCACGATCTTGGCTCACTGCAACCTCCACCTTCCAGGTTCAGGCAATTCTCCTGCCTCAGTCTCCTGAGTAGCTGGGACTACAGGCGTGTGCCACCACGCCCAGCTAATTTTTGTATTTTTAGTAGAGATGGGGTTTCACTTGGTCAGGCTGGTCTTGAACTCCTGACCTTGTGATCCGCCTGCCTTGGCCTCCCAAAGTGCTGGGATTACAGGCATGAGCCACCACGCCCGGCCACACAGCATTTTAAGCAGACATTTGAAATGCTTAAGCTCACTGCGATATCAACAGGAGGTGGCTATAAAATTATTATAGTGGTACAGTATATACTATGTGAACTTTGTGTGGTTATGTTATATTTCTCTCAACTGTGAATGGTGCCATGTATGATCTGTTTGTTTGAGTAAGTTTTGATAAATTTTAAGTTTTTATAATAGATTTGTGTATACTTTATGGCAGTAAATGATAAAATAGACAAGCATGTACATGTGTTTTATGCATTCATGACATACTTAACTTTTTCTTTCTTTTTTGATATTTCTAGGCTATACAGTTGGTGAGTGTTTTCAAGTTGTCGCAAATCTCCAAAAATTTTTCCAATATACTTATTGGAAAAAATCTGCTTCTAAGTGGACCCACACAGTTTAAACTCGTATTGTTTGAGTCAACTGTAGTTACCAAACAAGGAAGGCAGCACAGGAGCAGGGGAATTTCCAGGCTGCCGTGAAAGCCCAGAGGGAGGCAGGGGTTAGACTTCCCAGAGAAGGTGATCTCAAGGCCTGCGGTGTGCTAGGGCACTGGCTCATCAACCGTGCACATCTCTTCCCAGTTCTCATTCAGTCACTTCATGGGTAGCTTGAAATCGGCTGTAGTGAGAGTATTTACACCGCAGAAACCAGCAAGTGCTACAGATCAGGGCTTTTTTGACCTGCAAACTTAGTTGCTAAACTTTACCAGCACACCATTGGAATGGCTGAATGATACTTTGCATGATAAAGGGAAGTAAGGAAGCATCCCAGGCAGAAAGGGCTGTGTAAACAAAGGCACAGAAATGAGAACGAGCCAGGGGCAGGGAGAGACCAGCAGTGCAGTGTTACTGGTTCATAAAGGGGCAGGAAGGCTGGGGCCAGACCTGTAGGCGATCTCTTTGGGCATCCTAAGAAGATATAATGGAACTGTCTCCCAGGGGAGAAGAAGGCACTGAGGGGTTTTAAGTAAAGGCCCAATAAAATACTATTTGTGTTTTAGGTTGATCATTTTGGGCACATCATGGAGGGAATATTGGGAGCAGAAGGGTAAGTACTAAAGAGATGGTCCTTTAAGGCAGGGGAAGAAGAGGATATGAACTGGAGAGTGACAGAGGGATGGTTAAGACAGGAAGATTCAAGAAATGTTTAGTAGATTAAAATATTTGAGCTTGGTTGTATATAGCAGGCAGCAGAGGGGACAGTCAATATTTCTAGCTCAGATGACGGGTAGATGAGGGTAGTACCAGCAACACAGAGAATATCGGCCCAAGTGCTGGTTTTAGGGGAGAAGATAAGTTCAGTTTGAGGCATGATGTGTTTGAGGGGCCTGTGGAACTTCCAGGTAGAGATGGAAATGTCTGAGCTGGAGATAAAGGTTTGTCACTCATCAACTTACACATCACGTGGGGAGAGTCGCTGGACCCCTGGACATACTGGAAATGCTTGGCTGTCTCTCAATGTGACTCCAACTGCATCACTACAGGAAATTGTTGGAGGCCTCCTGAAATGCAAATTCATATCTATAGGATTTCCTTGATATCTGGGCCACTAGGACCCCAAATGCTCTGTTACGAGAACCTCTGGAACAGCAGATCCTGGGGATAGAAAGGAGGTTCCTTGCTGATAAGAGAGACACTGCAGAGATCAGTGACCCAGAGGATGTCAGCAGAGGTGTGGGCAGTAAAGGGTCAAGGGTCAGGGGTTGGAGGCAAAGAAGGACTGAAAGAGCAGAAAAATTATAGGCAGTTGCTCCAGTCATTTATAAAAAATACCCTCCCTTCACTTAGACTCCTTGAAAGGAATAACTGGAACTCCAGTCTTAAGAAAAGTCTAGATAGACCAGCACTTCTCAGACATTAGTATGCCTCAGAATCTTCTGGGGGACTTACTAAAACAGACTGAACACACACACACACGCATGCACACACACCCACGTGTACACACACACACACACACATGCGCACACACACACGAGACATTGCCGGGCCCCATCCCAGTAGGTCTACAGTGGGGCCCGACAATCTGCATAATTACCCAGTTGCCAAGTGCTGCTGATACTGCCCGTCTGTGGGTCACACTGAGTAGCTCGGGGCCGGATTTCTCACTCAGTGTGTGAGGACTCCAGGTTTTGAGATTTGGGGTACTGCTAAAAATGTCTCTCCTCCTTTTTCCTCACTGCCTAGTGAAGTGAAGCCTCAGAAAGATCAGCCAGGGCATATTTGAGTTTTAATTGGTCAAGATAAAGCTTTGTGTGTCAGAAATTTCTGTATTGTGTGTGTGTGAGTGTTGTGTGTAAACGTGAGTCTGCCAAGGATGAGTGGAGCTGACCAAAGGTATGCTCTGCACTCCACAACCCCAGCACATCCTGCAGAGACATCTATATTAATGGTGGCTTCCTGAGGTCAAATGTAGACTTCAGGATTCACATAGTCTTTGACCAGGTCCCCAGCCTAGGGGTTTTGACACTCCTCAAAGGCTTAGACATTCTGTTGGGAGTCATGGGAAGTAGCCTGCTCTCTGTGAAGGAGGAAAAGAGCCACCACCATTTTGAGATGAAACCAGCACAGGAATCAGGTACTATAAGATCAGAGAAGCACAACTTCGCTGAAGAGGGAAGAGGAAAGAGAAGGAAGGAGCAGTTGTCCTCAGGCAAGGCAAGACGGCCAAGCTTTGCCTCCTGGAGGGGAGACCAATCCTGCAGACAAGAAGTGAACGTAACTCACGAAGTCCGAACGCTGGACTGTCCAGACAAGCTGGTTTGTGGCTTCATTTCAGGAAGCCCCATTTACCTGATATCCCCACATTCTCTCAGAAGTTCTGGACATTGTTTCTATGCTCTGTACCATGAGGCACTCTGGTCACGAGGACCCACCCGACTGAGCCAGGTGGATCCTTGACAGGGGCAGTCAACACACAGGCTAGCCAGGGCCACGAGGTGGCCTGTGGACTTACCAGACCCCTCAGACCTGCCTCTCAGGGAGCGTGAACTCGTAACAGGAGGACACCGTCAGCAGTTGGTGGAAGGAGTGAAGGGAGGGAAAGAGAAGACAGAGTAACAAAGGACAGAAGGCAGTGAGCAGAAGCCTGAGGCCGCAGCACAAAGAGGAAAGGAAGCAAGGCCAAGGTGGTTGAGTTTCCAAGATGGCAAAACCCTTGAGATGGGGACGCAAAGCCTTGCCACAGAGGAGCCAACAGGAGCCACCTGGATCCTGACTGACATTTCAGGGCTTGTTTAACTGTGCCAAGGCCTGACTGTACCACTGTCCTTCCATGAGCCCCACAATATCCCCCAACTCTTAGGGAAGCGTGAGTGTGATAGAAGCGAACCGCCCAGCATAGAAAGCGGAGGCCAAAGGTGGTAGACTTCATGGATGCAAGGCGCTCTAGCCCAGTGTGGGAGGTCCCTCCACTTGCTCACAATCCAAGTGTCCTTCCACTGCTAGGATCTATTTTTGCTCACATTTCTGACATGGAATGTGTGGGCTTTTCCCCACACAAATTAATTCTCCAACTCTCCAGACCCCTGTTGGGTATCCTATAATTTAATTCTGGTGCTAACCACCTAGAGTTGGCACAGACCCCACAGGTTAAGGGCTCAGTTCCACAAGACTGCCCCCACTTCTGGTGCCCATCACAAGTCCAGGCCACCCATACTTCTGATCAACCAGCTATGAAGTCAGAGGTGTTCCCACAACTCCTTCCTTGGGTTCAAAAATTTACTGGAAAGGCTAAAAAAAAAAAACTTGGGGAAACATTTCACTTTCATTTGCCAGTTTATTTTAAAGGTTACAATTCGGGAACAGCCAATTGGAGGAGCTGCAAAGGGCAAGGAGTAGGGGAGGGGTGCGGAGCGTCCAGATCCTCTCTGGGCCGCCACTCTCCCAGTGTTCAGCCTGGATGCTCCCTGAACCCCTTTAGTTTTGGGCTTTTTGGTTCCATTATGTAGGCATGATTGAATAAATCACTGGCCATTGGTGACTGAACACAATCTTCAGCCCTCTCTCTCCCCTCCCTGAAGATTAGGGGTGAGGCTGAATGTTCCATCCCTTTAACCACGATTGGTTCCTCTAGTAATCAGCCCCCATCCTGACACCATCTAGGCATCCACCAAGAGTCACCTCATTAGCATAAACTGAAGTATGACTGAAAGCGGCTTATTATGAGTAATAAAAGATGTTCCCCTAACTCCTACGAATAAGGAAATTCCAAGGATTTTAAGAGCTCTGTGCTGGGAACTGAGGATGAAGACCAAATATATATATATTTTGTTATATCACAATGTCATACGTGCAGAGTTGTTGGGGGCATTAGATAAGTCAAGATTTGGAAAAGATTTATGAATTAACAGCAACTCATTAACGCCTCACCATTATCTCAAATACAATAAATCCAATTGACTGTAAATTCCTCAATAGAAACTGTTTCTTGGTCACGTCTTTACTTCTAGTAACCAGCCTAGAGCTAGGCACGATAGATGTACAGGCACCGTACACAGAAATGTCAGAAACAACCCCAGTGCCCCCGGCCCTGGCCCTGACAGGCTCTCCTCCTTAGTTCCTCACTGACTTTCTCCTAGTTCTTAAGATCTGGTGTATAAGGGAGGAAAAATATCTTTTTCTTACACTCATCTTAGGTTCATTGGCTGGGGCTCCTGAAAGAAAGGACTGATGAAGAGAAAAGCAAACAAATGTATTCAATATAAGTTTTGCATGACACAGGAGCCTCTATAAGGAAACGTGGACTTGAAGAAAGTTACATCTCAGTATTTTTTATTAGTGGGTTTGAATGGAAAGTAGTGAAGGATGTTAGGGCAGAAGAATGAGCTAAAAATGTAGTAAATGGAGGAAAACAGCCAGGCCAGTCGTTTGATTGCTCTTGGCCTCCCTGTCTCCCTGGAGATAGGGATGTTCCCTTTGCTCTGGGTAGAGGGAGGGCGCCTCGCACATGAGGGTCTTATGACCAGCATCAGGAGAAGCTCAGAAAAATCATTCCTAGGTTTTTATGACTTGCCTCAGGGGAGAATAGGGAAAGGTCAGAGGGACCTTCCTGGACACACCGTTTCCCAAATTCCTTCAGCTTCAAATGTTCAATACGCCAAGGTGCCGTATTTCGGGGTAGCATGCTCTGAACCCAGCAGGTATCTTGGCCATTGTTGATTCTTCTCCCTCCTGTGTCTCCCATCTCAAATCTCTCTAAATCCTACAGTTTATTCCTTCTAAATGTCTCCCTGTGCCACTCTCTTCTCCGCCCTTGTTAGTTTCATCCTGGTCTAGTTCTGTACACTCCTCTAGTACCCAGCCTCCAGGATGGCTTTGTGGCATTCTTAGTCATGCCTTAGACTACAGACAGTTCCATTCTTCCTGGCATTCTCTGAAGACAAGCACCCGTTTCTGGTCATCGTGTCCTCCCCATCCACCAACTCTTTAGTGCCTGGCACACATGACATATTTGTAACACAGTGAAATTCAGAATGAGGGGCAAGCCAGTAGCACTGAGACAGAGAGAGAGAGGAGACAGAGCTGTGTCACGGGGTGGAGGGGAGGAGATAACTGGGTGGCTGGGGAATCTATGTGACACGAAGTTCCTGGGAATATCTGGATCACTGAGGCCCAGCTCTTCCTGCCCTCTAGGCTCTTTGAAGGTCAATGACAGTCACCTTGAACCAACTGTTGTGATCAAAGCCCAGGAGAATGCTAAGTACCTGGTACCAGCAAACATTTTGCACGGAGGTTTCCTGGTAGAGGAGAATTTCAGGAAGATTTCCACAACATTGCCTAACTGGGTCTACAGGGTGAAGTCTAAACTCTGAGCCTCTTGCCAAACTTTAAATTGCTTCTGGGATAGGACCTGGCCCCAAAGCAACAGTCCTAAATTCCTGACAGAGTCTTTATGGGACTCTCTGGAGAGAGTGTGGTGCATAGAGAAGAGAGGGTGCTGGGCCTGGTGGCTGGG